CAAAACGTGTTGAATTTAATATTTTACAATATTAAACAAAACAAAATATTGGCACGTAGTAGAATAAATGATCTTTTGTTGTTTAAATGATAATTATTAATAGAAAATGCCGATATGAGTACAATATAATATTATATATATATATTAAAGTGATAATTATGAAGTCTGTTACTTTTATTAAAAAGTATTTTTACATCGTAATTAGGAAAAAAAAATAAAATCATATGTGTTATCTATAAATTTTTTTTTTTTTATTTGTAATGATTTGTACATTAAAGTGAACTTAAGTACTGTATGATTTGTTTCAAGGTTGTATATACCTAGGTAATAATATGTGGCCAATTATTATTGGTTAATGTTTATGTTGATGAAGTATTATTGGATAAAAAAAGATCATTCATTTAAATCATTTGAGGTTGTATCTATGCATGTCGTCCGCACAAACGTGTTATAGAAGGATTAACTCAAAATCTTAATTTGACAAAGTAAATTATAAATTCATTTCCTATTTTAATAGATAGATTGTTTCCAACAATTAGAATTTCCTTTTTTAACTGATAGATTATCTCCAGCAATTAATGATTCACTTGTGCTATTTCTCTATATAGAAGGTAATTAATGAAATTGGCGGGAAAATGTTTCCATAAGTAAATTATGTTAATCCTTATTATATATTAATAGATTAAGGGCATGAATTTGGTCGCAGATTTGACACCTCATTATTATAGAGTTAATTATTTGTTTGCTTTGTTCTGATTAAATAAAAACCTTCAAAATTAAGCAAATGGACTACTATCTTTTAAGCTTTTAATTATCTTAATTAACATGGGAATCATCATTAACTCATGAAATTCAATGAACTAATCGCATTTATCACAAATTCCTGAGCATAATTGCATGTGTTAATTACTCCGAATTGAGCATAATTAAAAAAAAATGTAATTAATTGTATAGTCAGTCGTTAAAACACGGGTGCATTACTTTTAGCAATATCTATATATATATATATATATATATATAATTACTAACCAATAGCATTTAATAAAACTTAATTAATTTTACCTATGTGGCAATTTAATATTTTTCCATCAAAAAACCGTTACTTTTTTATGTATTTAATCTTTCATTTAATTATTAAATAATAAATACTAATCACTTCAAATTACAAAAATCATTTTAAATTTTTTATTAGTGACAATTGACCATATAATGTGTTGATCGTATAATGTGATTATATGTTATTATTGTGGTTACATTTAAATTATTTTTTTTTTAAAAATTAAAAACGTATTTGAAATTCCTAAATAAATGATAAATAATTAAAAAAAAAGACGTACTAAAATATACATTACATCCAATCAGATAAACGCAATTTAAAAAAAAAAGTAAATATTTCAACTTCTTTATTTGTAAATTTGGCATGCAAAAAAGTGAAAGAAAAATAATTAATCATTATATGCATACAAATAACCCACAATACTTTATTTTTACATCTGTACAAATGTACAGGGTCGAATACTAGTATAGTTACTAAAACAATACTTGTGTATTACACGGGTGTTTTTTTTTTAAAAAAAATATATTCTTAAATTGTATAATTAATGAGAAAAAATAATTTAAAATATAAACAATTTTTTAAAAAATATAATTATTATGTATTTTAAAATGACATTTGTTACTTGTATGACTTACATGTGTCATTTTTTAATAATTTTTCTAACTTATATCATATAACTACTTAAAGTTAAATATATTAATTGATAAATAATTTTATTTTTCTAATTAATATTAATAAATAATTTATTATTATTTAAAAATAAATATAATAGATTTATTTTATATATATGGATGTCAAATCGAAGCTCATCAAGTAATGATTAATTTGATATATCATATATGTAAAACTAATAAAAAAAATATAAAAGTTAATAACTTTTAAAATATATTTACAATTCAAATAATTATAATACGAAATGCAATTAATACATGCAAAATGACTATAAATAATCCGAACCTAATTATTTTTGGGTTTTGAATAAAATTAAAATCTATTCAAGCCAAATAATTAAGCATGTAATATGATTCTAAAACATGCGAGTCTGACACTTAGATTCAACACATTCATTAATTATATGTAAGGAAATGTAATTTGGGACAAATTCAATACGTGAAAAATTAATAAAATTAAATATAATGAAAAGATGTTCCGACAAAATCGACCGCCTCAAGTTTATTCTGGAGAGACATTATGCGACACAATGTCTTGATCACGTGAAAAAATTTCATTATGTGCTATTTTTAATTATTCTTATTATTATAAGTCAACTGAAAATAAAACAATTAATTATTAAACAAAAAAATAAGAAGAAAAAGAATCTGACTAATCTGGATGAATATTCATAGTTTTTCATTTTCCACATCACATGCCACTCACGTGGCCTTGCCACGATCGAAACATAGCGTACGGTGGGCCCCATCGCTATTTTTTTATTGGGCCCCCCAGCAATCGAAATCCACATGCCCAGCCCAACTCAATAGCCGACAAATCTGGGCCCGGCCTTCACATGCTTTGATGTCCTCTCTTTCTTCTTTAATCTTCTTTTTTCAACTTTGTTTTTCATAGAGGGTGCAAGCAATTAATATTTACTTTCAAATCCATCTCGGTCAATTTCATTTTATTATTTATATTAATTTGTAAAACAAAAAATAAATAATTAATGTGATTATTAAATAGTAATATGGATAGGTAAAAAAAATACGCGAAGATTAATATAATTTTTATAGATAAAAGTACAATAATAATTTATTTATAAATTAATAATTATACTAAGAAATATGAGTAAAACAGACATAATCGAGTAGAAAGTGTATATAATCCCAATCTAAAACGAAATTCAATTTTCTTTAAATTTATTTTAAGAAAAAAGCAAAAAATAAATTAATGTTTTTCATTAGTGGATTTAATTTGGCATAATTTCTTATATCTACGGGACAAAAGATTATGCTAATCTTAAATTGTTTGAATTTAGATAGAAAGTTTGTCAATATATTGGACTTTGTAATATCTTACAAATTTCGCCTTAATATATCAAAAAACTCATACTACATTGCCCGTAATTGTTTATAAATTGTAAAATTTATTAATATTTTTAATATAATATTTATAAATCAAGATTTAGATCTAGCTATAATGTTATTTAGTCAATCAATAGTTGATAAATAGATTAATTAATTCTAAAATAAAATGCCAGCATAAAAACGTCAAACTTTTATTAGATTGCGTAACTCCGAAAGTCTTTCAAAAATTTTGACATATTTTCCCACAAAAGATTTGAGAAAAATAAAATAATTACTATATTATAGTTTAACCACACATAAAATGAGGCGCATATAATATAGAGATAAGAGATTCTACGCTCTCGCTTACGGAATCATTCCGTCGAGATTTGTAACTATTAGATCAACTATCCATGACAGTCACATGATGATCTAACGGTTATAAATCCCGACGGAATTATTTTGTAACGGGAATGAAATCATAATTTTCCACAAGGATTTGACAATCCAACGCTCGAGATTCATCAACACCTTCCAGCCGTGGATGATGCGCGGGTCCCACCGCCTTGAATAACGGCAGTTGGCGTTTTGTCCCTAAAAATAAAAGACCAAATCAAAGTAGAGTTTAAAGACTTTTGTCCTCCATTTTCCCGACAAAGGCATCTTCGTTACAGAAATCTTGTCCCCACGTCTCGCCGGATACCTATCACACGCTCCCCATCGAGGCGTCCCCACACGCGCACACGTTCTCTAATCTCTCTTGGCCGGCATTTCGAACACAATATTTACAATTTAATTACTTTTTTTTTGGGTAATTAAATTTACAATTTAAGTACTTAAAATTGAAATGTATTACTTAATTTCTGATGTATTAAAATTTATTGTCTGCTTTAGAATACTGCTTTCTATGTAGTTGAAAAGATTACTCAAACATGAAAAATAGTCTTGTAATAAGATAACGGTCTAAATCATAATTTAGTCCGGAACGAAGTGAGAAAATAAATAATTGTTCTATTTAGATTGACATTTGATTACTTTTGAAACGATCAATTTGAAATGTCTGATTGTGAGAGTTAAGATCACTTGAAACATTTTTTTATGCCTAAATAAATTTAAGGTATGCATTCATTTAATTTTTGAAAAAATTATTCAAATCTATTAAAATATTCACTTGTAAGTTGTCCCACATCGTTTATACAGAGAAAATAAGTCTATTAGACTACTCCTTTTTGTACCAATTAATTTTGGGATGGAACCTCATTTGTGCTTCATCTGGACTTTCACTGCTTACGGTGTGCTTCACGAGCGTGGGACCGCACTCGTTTTGTCTCCGTTTCTTACAAAATCGTTAACAAAACAAATTTCTTCCATATTTGCCTTGATGAAAATCCAATGTTCAATTGATTTCTAATATTATACTAGCCTACCCTAGTATATTGAAAAAGAAAAAAAAAAAAAAAAACTACATAAAGGTATTAGAATTTGACTAACAGTCAAAATTAACTCACTCATGACCTTTGAAACTCGGTGAAAAAAAAAATTATAGTGGAATTAGAACAAACCATTCATTATTATGTCTACCATCGCCCAACTCGTGCAAACCCATATAGACCACTCAATTTGGGGGAGAGTAGACGCGTGGTCCCCACGCGCCCACACGCGACGAAATTCATGCACACGGGCAATAAGTTGCCCGGATTTGCTGTCCCTCCTCTGCCCCTATAACACACCACTCCTATAAAACTTTCCTATTGGTTCATTTTTCTCACAAGAAAAAAAAAACCTATTCAACGACTCGGTCAAAAGCTTTTAGGGCACACACATAATAACAAAGAGCTTTCTCCTTTGTATCTCTTTCAATATTCATCTCATTACATAACATACATCGTCTTAAAGAGAAAAAAGAATTTATTTTTATTCATCAATTTGTGAAGTAGACGAAAATGAAAGCACCGATTTTCAAGAACGATTTGAATCTCGATGCAACGGAGCTAAGATTGGGTCTGCCAGGTTCGGATGAACCTGACAGACAATCATCTTCATCTTCTTTACCGCTGATCAAGAACAACAAGCGATCTTTTTCGGAATTCGATGATTCAAGTGAAAAGCAAGACCGTGTTGCACAAGCTCCTAAGTAAGTTTTCGACTTAGATATCTAGATTTGCCTCAAGGACTAATTTGCACATAGTGTGTGTGTATATAATGATTTGTTATATAAAATTTCTTGATTTTGAAATGTTGTATAATTTGTAAATTCAGGGCACAAGTGGTCGGTTGGCCGCCAGTAAGATCTTATCGGAAAAATGCCATCCAGCAGCAGAAAAAACCCGAGCCCGAAAATGGGCTCGGGTTTTTCGTTAAAGTGAGTATGGATGGAGCTCCGTATCTAAGGAAAATCGATCTCAAGTTCTACAACAATTACTCTGATCTTCTCAAGGCCTTGGAGAGCATGTTCAAGTGCACAATAGGTATGAAGTTTTATCCATTTACACCGGATTCAGTAAGATTGCAGTTAGAGATGCCTAATTGTTAGACAATCATCATACTTTACAAAAAATACAAACAAAAGTATGACATTTCATATAACAAACATCGAGGTCGGCTCATACAAAATCTTTAGGGATTGTGTAGTGATTGGATATTTGCTCAAGTTTTTTTTTTTTTTGGTTATATAGGTGTGTACTCGGAGCGCGAAGGCTATAACGGATCCGAATATGAACCGACTTATGAAGATAAAGACGGCGACTGGATGCTAGTCGGGGACGTCCCGTGGGAAATGTTCGTCACTTCTTGCAAGAGATTAAGAATCATGAGAGGCTCGGAATCTAAAGGCTTGAGATCTCTGTACTAAAACAAAGAACAAACGAAAAAATGTAAGAAAAAAAAAAATGTTGAAGGAAATTATGTCATGTTAATTTCCTTAAAGGGGCTTCTTCAAGAAGTTGAACACTGAAAAAAAAAAAAATCATGAGGAATGATTTTAGCTCTGCCTTAAAGGGGTGGAGAAAAAACAAGATAGGAGGTTTGATTATAAGTTTAAGGAAGTACTCATGTATAGGACATTGATTATTACTTTCTTGATTTATATTTTTCCTCGTTTAATTCTTAGGATTTCGAGAGTTATTTGCAATGTATTTTCAGGATTCATCACACGTTTTGTACAACAACAGCAAAATATGAAATATTGAGGAAGTTGGAGTAGATTCATGCCATTTTTTTTGTTATGATTGAGAGTGATCTGAATAGACATGGCCACGGGCGGGGCCGGCCCGTGACCCCTGTCCCGACCCGTACGTTGCCGGTTCCGAAACGATCACCGTGGCTTTACGGATCGTGTTCGGGTCCGGTTTTTCTATTTTTGGTCCCGGTGGGCCGGTGCTGGGTTGGGATCCGGCTCACGGGCCCGGCCCTTGGTTTTTGGCGGGCCGGGTTAAGGGTCACCAATGAGAGCTCCGCCGGCTCGGCCCGTTCACTGGCCATCTCTAGATCTGAAATGTTGAACTTTGAAAATTTTATCTGTTTTCTTTAGTTGAATTTTGTTTATTTATTTATTTATATTTTTTTCTCTTGTGTTGTGTGAATTGTGATGTGTGCAGCACATGTGAACTAGGAACATAGTTGATATATTCTGCATAAAATAGAATCAATGCCGAACATGATATCTGTTTCTTTAAGTTTCCATTAATTAAGCATTCAATTATTTGATCTGAGTCGTTGACAAAATGAACTTGCTCGGTTATATATATGTTCAAGAAACAGGGAATTAAATCGGAGGTT